AATTATTTATTATATAATTAAAAAATAAAATTTATTATAATATTATATATATTTATAAAATTAATTTAAAAAAAAAAATTTTTTTAAAAATTTTAATTTTTCATAAAGTAAATCAGAAGGGAATTTATAGTAAATAAGTAGGTGAACCTTTACAGTTTAAGGGATAGTATTTAAAAGAATTATTTGTTAATGATATTTTATAAAACTCTTAAAAAAATTTTTTTTTTGAGTTACTATAATGTTAAATATGAACTTATTTTTACTAAAAAAAAATCATATATAATATAAAAAGAAATTTGTACTATTTCTATATAAAAATATAGAACAAATCTCTTTTTTTATAAATTGTATTTTTGAAATTTTGACTTTAAAAATTTATTCCGTTAATTTATTACAATAAAAAGAAAAATTTATAATAAGATATCATATTACATAATGACTTTTAAACTTTAGAAATTTTGATCCTTTAAAATGAAATATCTGATTCTGTAATGATGTGATTTAAAGTTCTCATTAAGTAATAATTTTAAATGTATATTTAGATGAATACAAAATTTTTTTTTTATTTCTCTTGATAATTCAAGCTAACCTCTAAAGATATATTGGAAAAGAAAATTTAAAAACTATTATAATGCGTTTACCAACTAAAATATAATTTTTCCATAGCTTTTTTTTTTTGTAGTTTTACTGCGCCGTTTGCGAGAACGATTAAATTTTAAACAAACTTTTTATTGGTGACAAAATTATTAAATTGCTAAAAAATTTTTACTACGCTGCAAGGCTTACAAACCAATCGCACCTGTTATGCATTGCGTTGCAGTAAGTTCAAAGGAATACAAACGCCCATATATTTGCATATGATATAATGCCAAATGTTAATTAATAACAATTACAACATGAAAAAATCCGATTGAGAATTACCTTTAAGTCTAGATAGTACATGGTTACATTTTTGCACATGATTTTTTTATTCTTGAATAACAACGAACAACAACATATAACGCCATAGAAACTTTTTATTTGAAAAAGGATTGTTATGCTCGGGTTTGCTGTTCACGGCGTTTTTCACAAAAACCGCCTCCTATTCACTAATTTAATGGGTTTTTACTTTTTTTAAAAAAAAGGGAATTTCAACCGGAAAAGATTCGGTAAACGTTCAAATTTTTGTTGACATTTATAGATGGATCAATGGACTGTTCAGAGTCTATACTTTGAAGGGAACCTTTATTAACTGTCACACATAATAGGGTTTAATTCATTTAATGATTTAATTTTATTAATTTATTGAATTTAGTTGGTGATTCGTAATAAGCGTAATGAGGAAATTTTTTCCTTACGTTATCACATTATAAAAATGGTTTTTTTCAAGATTGAATCTTGGTCTTATATGAACAAAAAAGGATGACCAAAACCTTCGGCAACTTTAAAATAGGAAAATCGTTATTATTGTTACATGATCTATAAATATTCACGACCATTGATATAATGAAGAGGCTTCCCAAATTTTAAATTTCCTTTAACAATTGTTTTTTCATGATTTTATTGACGTTACATTAAAAAGTGGCTGAAAAATTTCTATTTACAATATTTAAGATTTAATTAATTTCTTTTTCTAACCATTTACGCATTTAACTTCTTCCAATTTGTTTAAAAAATGGTAAATAATTTAATTAATGAGAAAATATTTACGCGACGAGAATTCCATTCTCTTATTATTATTTGTCTCGTAATCCATTAATAATATTTGTAAAACATTACCATTCGTTCTAAACTCTTAAGAACATTATTTTTTTTTTTGCAAAGAATTTTATCGTAACAATATTAAGGGATTGTAACATTATGAAGTACCAACATGAAACTCAACCCACACACTTATTTTTTTTTTTTTTAGGAAAAAACATACCGAATTATAGACTGTATTTGTCTATACCATATAAAGTTAGAATATTAACTTGGCGTTTTGGAAATCCAAATAATACAACAGATCGAACATCACTTTTGTTCAATCGGGTTACACGTTCGAAGAAAATTTCTTGGATTTTCCCTATAACGACGTTTAAGGAATTAAGGTGTAACGGACGTGAGAATTTTTTTGTTATTGAAAGGTTCCGAAATAGTCAAAAAAATTTTTCATTCGTTTTAAAAAAAAAAGGAGAAAAATTCGTTTTAGAAATACAAAAATGGACTAGACTTCTTTTTTAAAAATAGACATCAATTCAGAATTAGAAATTACGATTATTTGTCATAAATAAATATTCTCCCCATATAAATATTTATCAAAATAGTAATTTATATTTTTGTTTTTGTACCCCAGAATTATAATTGATTATCTATAAAATAATTCTAGAAAAGGCAAATTTTAATAGAGGTTCTAACTTTGGGGGGGGGGAGTATAAGTGAGAATTGATCTTACATATTCTAAAATAAATCAACTAAAAAAATTTTGTTATAAATTCTTCGATTTTTTTTACTCCTCCTCCAAAATACTGTACATTTAATCCATATTACTACTACCTATTTAATTAATTACGAAATTTAATTTTTTATTTTTTCATATTAAAAATGTCTCTTGAAGAAGGAAAACTCGCAGAAAAATATTACTCGGCTCCAAAAATCGCCAACCCAGCTCCACTTGGTAATATAGAATTTTTTGCATTTCAACCTCCATTTTTTTTTCTTTAAAAAAAAAATTCATCCTTTTATCTTACTTCTTTCACATATAGGTTTAAGTGGTTTCGCTTTAACAACATTTGTATTGTCAATCCATAATGCTGGAGCCTCCACAGTATTGATTCCAGATATCGTGGTAGGATTAGCACTATTTTATGGTGGTTTGGTACAATTATTGGCGGGAATGTGGGAATTTAAAACCGGAAATACCTTTGGTGCCACTGCCTTTTCTTCCTATGGTGGCTTTTGGCTTTCTTTTGGTGTAATATCCATCCCAGCTTTTGGTATTAAAGCTGCTTATGCAGAAGCAGATAAATTGGCCTTCACTCATGCCGGTATGTATCAGTATTCAAATCGGTCGTTAATAATTTATTTTAATCAAATCGCTCATTTTCATTTTTACGTATTCTATAGTTGGAATATATCTAATTGGATGGACAATATGTAAGTACATTCATCTTTTTCACATAAATTGTCCTCTCAAAAAAATTTTTTTTTTCTAAATTTCTCTCCCTTTCCTTTGATTTTTAAAATAGTCACATTCCTCTTATTTTTGGCAACATTCCGATCTAACGGAGGAATAATGGCATTGTTCTTTTTCTTAACGTTGACTTTCCTTTTATTGACGTTAGGAAAGTTTGTGAGTGAAGATCAGCCATTTCCAAACGGTTTTACAAGAGCTGGTGGTATATTCGGTATAATTACTGCGTTGATCGCTTGGTATAACGCTTTAGCAGGTTTACTTACCCCTGATAGCTCTTATTTCACTTTACCTACTTTTGATTTAAGTCGCAAGAGTAACTAAAAAAAAAAAAAATAAAAATAAAAAAAAATAAAAAATGGAATATATATATAGATATATTTACTTTGGGTTTTTTTTTTTCTTAATAATTTTAAAAAATGTATGATATATATTATATAGGTACTGTAATAATCATAGTTGTTTGATTTTGTATATTATTTGTTTAATTAACGTCTTATAATAATTTTAGTCTATTCTTGAATGAAAAATTTTTTTTTTGTTGGTTAGCTAAAATTTTTAATACCGTTAATTGTTTCATGGTTTTTATTCCAAATTTTTAAATTATAAATTTATAAATTCAGTTATTTCAACGTTTTTGATAAACCATTCGGATAGCTAAATTGATTCTGAAATCTCATTCATTTTCAAATAATTTAATAAATAGTTAATATTTTTAAAAAAAAAAAAAAAAATTATTATTGCTTAATTTGGGTATTTTTCGATCACGTGTAATCAATTCAAAATTAATCACAATCGTGATTTTAAAAATTTCACGAGCCGTTAGTCGAAAAAACTATTAAATGACATCGCAATTCAGCATAGTGGAATTTCTTTAAAAGGTTACGAGTCGTGACGATCCTTTTTATATTATTCTATTATAAAATATAT